CTTTCCTGCCCGGGCTGGCTTTGAACTGCGATCCTCAGATCTCAGCCTCCTGAGTAGCTAGGATTACAGGCGTGAGCCACCAGCGCCCGGCCCAGCATTTTTCTTTTTTGCTTATGTGGTGCTGAGGAATCGAACCCAGGGCCTCAAGCATGCAAGGCAAGCACTCTACCACTGAGCCACCTTCCCAGCCCCCAGGCGGTATATATTTTATCTGACAAACTCTGTCTCCATTTTCTCCTTTATGTTATGCTTCTCTCTCTTTAGGAGGCCCAAAACCCAGACTCTAGAAGCTCTGGAACATGTTTCTGTAGCAATACCTCCCTCCCACCACACACACTGTTTTACAGATGAAGGGGTCACAAACTTAATGACCTTAATCAGAAACCCCAGTTGAGGTGGCCTATGGTGGTAGTGATTTCAAGGCCTGACTATTTCTTGTTAGTTCTCTATCATAACCCTGTGAAGTTTCTTCCTGTTCCCCATCCCATTTTTCTCCTGGCCTCTGACAGATTCTCCTAGTGGCTGTGCTAAATGATGATGGATAAAGGAGAAGGGTGAGGCTTCCCTCACCCTCCTAGCTTCTGCTGTGCTTCTAGAGGTTGCCTTCTCTGGCCTGGCCCTCTGCTCCGGGCCTCCTCATCTAGTGCGATTGTTTACTGTGGAGCCTGGGTGGCTGGGTGTGTGTGTGTTTCATACTCCTGGCTCTGCACCCTGTTCTCAGCTTATCAGTGGGCTCTCCCCAGCACACTTCCTCAGCCACTCCGGGTAAGGGAATGTCTGAGTAACCAGCCCATGATGACTCACTTTTTCTTGCCCTCTTGGCCTCCTTATTTTCCTGTTCATGTCTCTGTCTCCTGAGCCTAGGCCCAGAACAGTGACCACCCTACCTTGATGCCAGCAAACAATTGAGGGCTGTTTGCTTCCTCTCTGGGCAGAATGAGGACTGCTCAAGACTTGAACAGAGCTGTCAGACAGATGGTTGAAGCAGACATAATGTGTCCTGGGGAAGAGTGCCCGGGCTTGGGCCTCATCTCCAGAGTGAACTGAGACCCTTTTAGATGCCAAGTTTTATTATCAGAAAAGTTACTTCTTCAGATTCACCTATGGCCTTCAGGGGAAGATGTCTCTCCCTGTCTTCCTAAAGGAGTGTTGAGTGACAAGCACAGGCTTCTTAGTAAGGCTGCCTAGGTTCAAACTCCAGTCCTGCCATACCAAGCAGGTGACTGTGAACAGACAGAACAATACCTTTCTGAATCTGCCTTTGTCTCCTATGGAGAGAGGACAGTGACCATGTGACAAGGTTGTTGTGAGTAAATAGGTAATGGTGCCCACACCAAGTATCCTTCACATCTTACTCAAGTTTGCTGGAAAGCAGGATTCCTAGGAGAGGACCTGGTTAGGGTATACCAGAAAGAAATTGCTTTTAGCCGCTTAGAAAAAGAAGAGACCCCAAAAGAAGCACAGAATACATCTGAATGCCCCTTAGATGTAGTTTTCAAGGATCAGACCTGCTGTACATGTTGCACTTTTATTCATTTACCTGTCTTATAGTAGAAGTACTGGACAAAAGTGGGAAAATCGCTGGAAACTTCCTTGATGCAGCTTTCAGAATTCTGTCTGTGGAGGGTTGGTGACTTGTGATACGCTTGGGGAGTCTCCACCACTAAAAGTGAATGCAATTGGTGGTGATTTTGCTCCCTCTTCTGGCCAAACACAGATGTGTGCTAAAGGTTCTTCCCCATTGTCTAGGGCTGCAGAACCAGAAGCTCAGAGCTGTGTTCTCTGGTGAGGGATGAGGACAGCTAGTCCTGTGCAAAGTGACCCAGGGGCTTCACTGCTGGTTTTCCTATCGGCCAACATAGACAACTTTACACATTAGATCCAGAGAAGCAAAACTGCCTTCCCTCAGTCACCCCACCAAAAAGTGGAGTCCCTAGATCTCATTCCTCCTTTACCCTGTCAAGAAATAAACTTTCCTGTGACAGGAATAAGCTCTTTTTTTTTTGTGCCAGTCCTAGGGCTTGAACTCAGGGCCTAGGCACTGTCCCTGAGCTACTTTTGCTCAAGGCTAGTGCTCTACCACTTGAGCCACAGCACCACTTCCAGCCTTTTCTGTTTACGTGGTACTAAGGAGTTGATCCCAGGACTTCATGCATGCTAGGCAGCACTCTACCACTAAGCCACATTCCCAGCCCTGGGGATGAGCTCTTTTGGAATCCCCTTTAGTCCCTCTTGGTCACTGGATGTTCTTTGCCAAATGGCTGCTCTGGAAGGGGTGATGGAGAACCCCATCTGGCTTCTTGAGGCTCTTCTCACAAGATAGAAACTGGAAGTATGTTTTAGTAATTGGGCAGCACAGGTCCTGGAAGGTCCCTAAGTCGAGTCAGGCTGTAGGCTGTACAAGGAGAGCTTTCTCTCCAGGGACTCCATGTCCCCTTTCCTAGGAAGCATGCATTTCCCTGCCTCCATGTAATGCGGTAGAGAGACTGATGGAAACTGCTTTCCAGATCTGAGCTAGGAGCTGAACTGAGGGCCACTAGGGAAAGGGGAAATCAGGTTGACCCCTGCTGGCGGTAGAGCTCAATGGTAGAGTACCTCACTAATGTGTGTGAAGGCCTGGGTTCCATCCTCAGCATGACAGAGGAGCGGTGGCTAACCTAAAAAAATCTCCAACCTTGAGCAGTGGCTGGTGGGAATGGCTGTGCGGAATTGAAGCAGAGGGAGCCCGTCTGTCCCTCTCAGGCCTGTTTCTTCCTTTCCTCCAGGGAGGAGTCAAGCAAATGGGTACCAAAAAGGGTGATTCCAGAGCCATCTGGAAGCCAAGCTTGTGCTCCCCTTGCCCCATTGGGAAGTGAGAATTATGTGTGATTAGCTGACTAGGTTGCCTCACTAGACTGGGACAGCACACCCCACCGAGGCTGCCATCTGCCCCAGGCCATGAGCTGGGACTCAGGTGACATACGTGCTCTCTGAAATGCATGGTGAAAGAGGGTCTGGGAGTTTGTTTTTCAGTCATTCACATGTGAACATTCAGATAGAAGCAGGACCCTACCCCACTCCCCACACCTCCTCCAGAAGGGGCCTCGGTAGTTGGGTCAGGCAGAAAGACTCTTTAGACATGTGGGATCTGGGATAAATTCAGATGCTGGTTTGGAACTGCTCTTGCAGCAACCCTGCAAAAGCCTCATTGACCTTCCCAGCTCCATTGAACTCCCTTTTGGGTCCTGTTTTCCCTGGGAAAGAGGACCCCAGCCGAAGCAGAGGGTGACTGATAGAGCTATCAGGGCTCTTGGAGCCTTAAAACTTCTTACAACCATTGCTCTGCACCCACAAGTTACCTGTCCCCCAGAACCCAGTGCATCCTCCATCCCTACCTGTTCTTATATGTCATGAGAGTCTCAGCATGCCAAGTGGAAACTATGTCTCAGAGCAGCTCTCCTTGGCTTTTGTCTCCTCTGAATCATGCCTGCTTCTGCCCATATTTGGTGGCTCTTTGGCTGCTGGGCAGCCCTCCAGGGTGCGTGCTGGAGGAAGTCCTGCTCCGAGCTTCTTCCTGCCCCTCTGAGTTTGAAAGGCCCCAGAGGAGACCAGCAGGAATGGATGCCCAACAGCCTGGGAAGGGACTAGAGGCCCTGTTTTTCCTTCCAGTCCCCAGAGAAGAATTCTTTCTCAGATGTTTTTGTACTTGGAGAATATTTTTGCCATTGCTTTGAGAAGGCTTCCCCTCCTAACTTCCCCTCTTTCCTGGGAATTTCCTAAGCTGAACGACTTCACATTCACTTGTAGTTCCCTTTAAGAACAGTTGTGTTGGCTGGAAGGTGGCTCAGTGGTAGGGTGCTTGTCTTGCATGCATGAGGCCCTGGGTTCAATTCCCCAGAGTTGAGCCCCCATGGCCAAAAAAAATATATATATTGTGTTTGCCCCCTGGAGGGGTTTCCTTTAGAGGTGGGCTGTTTGAACCTCTGTTAGGAGGACTGTTGGGAAAACGGTTCTCTAGTACCTTCATTGTCAGAAACCTAATGCTTTTTGCACATGCATCTACGAAGACTTTTACATAAGTATACCCTCTGTCTAGCAGGGTAAAGAGAGAACAAGCTCATCAGTCTTGTTGAACTTTTATTGGGGGCTGTTCAGGCTTTAAAAGCTGGTCCTCTACTCAGGAGTCTGAGACCTGAGGATTGCAGTTTGAAGCCAGCCCAGGTAGGAAAGTCTGTGAGATTCTTTTTTCTTTTCTGTTCTTTTCTTTTCTTGGTTGTGGGGCTTGAACTCTGGGCTTGGGTGCTGTCCCTGAGCTCTTCAGCTCAAGGCTAGTGCTCTACCACTTGAGTCACATTACCACTCCAGTTTATTGGACATAAGAGTCTCACAGACTTTCCTGTCCAGGCTGGCTTTGAATGGCAATCCTCAGATCTCAGCCTCCTGAGTAGCTAGGATTACAGATATGAGCCACTGTCACCCTGCTAGTGAGAATATTATCTCCAATTAAGCACAAAAAAAGCCAGAAGTGAAACTATGGTTCAAGTGGTAGAATGCTAGCAATGAGCAAAACGAAGCTCAGGGACAGTGTCCAGCCCTTGAGTTCAGCTCAAGCCTCCCCTGTCTACTTACTCCCACCCCCCCAAAAAAAAAAATACTTCTGGCCCTACTGTTGAGAGTGTTGCTCATTCATGAAAGGGTCTTGGAAAAAAGTGGGTATGGGACATTTTTCTATTCCAAATGAAATCCCAAAAAGCGTCAAGAAGTTTTTATGAGCTAAGTATGGAGACATCCCTCTAATCTCAGCTACTCTGGAGGCTATGACTTGAGCCAAAGAGTTCAAGGCCAGCCTGGGAAACATAGCATGACCTTGTCTTCAAAAGAAAAAAAAAAAATCCATGGAATGACCACTTTTCTCAAACTTCTTTCCAGGGTCGAGTTCCAGAATAAATTCTACAGTGGGACCGGTTTCAAGTTCCTGCCCTTCTCCTTCGAGCACATTCGGGAAGGGAAGTTTGATGAGTGAGCCCCCGGGAGGGGCATCTGCCCCAGGTACCCTCTCTCCACCGTGACTAGCTGTGTTCCCTTTTGCCTGTTGTGATCCCTGGGCACCAGGGCCCTGTGTCACCCTTACTATCCCTGCCCCAGCTGTGAGTCATTTAGCTAGAGCTGGCCTTTCCTGGGCCTCTCACCACCCCCAGATTTGTATGTCGTGTACAGATTTCCTAGAGAGAAGCTGGTTCTGGCAGTCATGCCCACAGGGCATCAGCCTTGTCCTCCTAGCTTCCATCCAGCCACAGCTCTTTGCCCTCTGGTGGCCAGCCAGTCTGTGGATCCACTTGGATGTGCAGAGCCCTCTAGGCTGCTGGATGAAGTAACCATGTGTTCATATTGACCCACCCCTGCTCCTGCTATAGGAGTTACTGTAAGCCAGTGGAGCAGAGCATGGCAAGTTCTCTGCTAGAAGACAATGCTCTTTACCAGGTCCCAATCAGGTTAGCAAGGGTGGTCCAGGAAGATGGTGTTTTTGTGCTGTTCCCCAGACATGCCCCACTCCCATGCTTGTTAATCAGGAATTGAGCTGGCCCCATCAGGACCAGCATGAGTTGGCCTCTCCCTTAGGATCCTAGGATTCCCCAAACCAACTTCCTAACCATCCTTACATACCCCCCTCCTCCTCTTCCTCTCCTCTCCCACCTTTCCTCATTCAGCACAGCGTAGCCCAGCTGGGAGCACACAGGACGGAGGTCCTGGATAGCTTGCCAGCATATAACTTCCCTTCCTTGGATGCTGCCCAGAGGGCACCAGGGCCCTGCCCAGCAGGGCAGAGGGTTCAGATTGACTTTCCTGGTGGAGCCCCTGAGGTGTTCCCCATGTCTGATCAGGAATTTTGAGTGCAGGGTTGGAATCATCAAGGCTGGTTCTGCTGGCAGGCCTGCCTTAGTCTGCCCACCAGTCCCCCTTCCCACTCCCACATTGAGTCCTGCTCTCCCAAATGGCGTCTGGGCAGGGAAGATCAGCGTTACATACAGTTTGGTTACTGAAGGTGTCTAGCAGGACCGCCAGTGCCTATGCGGTGAGACCTGCTGCACAGCCCTGCCGAGGGACCGCGCCAGCACCCCCACATCCCAGTCTATGGCTGTGGATCTTAATCATGTGCTGCTGCAGCGGCACTGACTGTTCCAGCTAAATCATCTGCACTTCCTCCCCTGGAAAGGACTCCACCGGCCTGTAATCTCCTCCCACCCAGCTGTTCCTGAGTGAGCTACTGAGCTGCCCAGTACTCTGCCAGGCTGAGATAGGCACTGGCCCAGCTTCACCAGGCACTGGCTCACTGGGAGCTAACCCAGACCTTGTACAGAGTCCTCTCCCCTCTGGTGCCTGGTTTACGTGGTGCCCTTTGCTCTGTTTACAGTGTGCTTTTCAGTGGAGTTCTTTGTCAGGGTCTTGCCCAGACCTTTTGTTAATACCTTCCCATGCTGAATAAAGTGTGCTTGACTCTTCCCAGAGGCCGCCACCTGTCTCTGTGCCCACAACCCCTGTTGCTCAGTCCTCCTGAGCCCGTCCGTGCCCCACCCCCTCTACCTCCCGCCAGGGCCAGTGCTGCCGCTTTTCTTTCTGATCGGAGGCCACAGCTGCCATGGCCCTGGCTGGGCAGTGACTTTGTGAAATTCTCGCCTTATCTCAAGTTTCCCAGGCGTCTTCCCACTCCCTGGAGCCAAGGCAGCTTAGCACACACTTCGTCTCTTCCCTCCCCACACAGCGCAACAACCTAGGAGAGGGGGTCTGGGCATCTGCCCTTCCTCCTTTCCCTCTTTCCCATGCATGCTCTCCAGGGCTGGTTGGCCTGGCTATTTTAATCCCTGAAGCCCTTGGCCGGGGTGTAAGTGGAGGCTCAGCATGGGTTCTGAGGGTAGCTGGGGAAGGAGCTGCTGAGGTAGACAGGCCATAGGTCAAAGCCACTGACTGGGCAGAGAGGGCCACCTCCCTCTCCCAGCCGCCCTGGGAGGCACACATTCTTTCTGGTTGCCTGGGTAGGGATGGGGCTGCAGAGCAGAGGCTGCCCAGGAATGTGAGCAGCAGCTCCCAGCTGCCACCCTTGGAGAGGTGGAAATGGCCCTGTTTGTTCAGAGTTCCTTCCCAGCCTAAGCCCTGCTTTGCAACAAGTGTACCTGCTGCTGAAGCAGGCCCTGGGGTGCTCCCCTGTGACCCCTGACTCCCCAAATGAAAGGACTACAGGAAATCCTAGTCAGGCTTTTTTAGCCTACTAAAAGAGGGGCTGGGGTGCTAACCCAAATAGATACTTAGGCCAGCAGTAGTGGCTCATGCCTAGAAGCTAAGATCTGAGAATAATGGTTCAAAGCCTATCCAGGCAGGAAACTCCATGAGACTCTTACCTCCAGTTAACCATCAGAAAACTAGAAGTGGCACTGATGCTCAAAGAGATAGAGTGCTAGTCTAGAGCACAAAAACTCAGGGATAGCACCCTGAGTTTGAGCCCAGTGACCAACCAAAGAAAAAAGAGCCAGGCGCTGATGGCGCACGCCTATAATCGTAGCTACTCAGGAGGCTGAGATCTGAGGATCATGGTTCAAAGCCAGCCTGGGCGGGAAAGTCTGTGAGACTCATCTCCAATAAACCATTAGAAAACCGGAAGTGGTGCTGTGGCTCAAGTGGCAGAGCGCTAGCCATGAGCTGAAGAGCCAAGGGACTGCCCAGAGTTCAAGCTCCATGACTGACAAAAAGAGGGAGGAAGAGAGAGGGAGAGGGAGACAGGGAGAGAGGAGAGGAGTGGAGAGACTTAGAATCAGTGAAACAGAATTGAGATTCCAAGAATAAACCCTAACATTATGGATTTTTTGACAAAAGAGCCAACATAATTCAGAAATGAAAGAATTAATGGTTTTTATCAAGTAGTGCTAACAAGATGATATCCAGCTAGGCCACTGGTGGCTCATACTTGTGGTCCTAGCTACTCAGGAGGCTGAGATCTGATGATCTAGGTTTAAAGCCAGCCCTGGCAGAATACTCCCTGTAAGAATCTTACCTCCTATGGGGCTGGGAAGGTGGCTCAGTGGTGGCTTGCCTTGCATGCCTGAGGCCCTGGGTTCGATTCCTCAGCACCACATAAGCAAAAAGAACTGGAAGTGGCACTGTGGCAAGTGGTAGAGCACTCGAGTTGAGCTGAAGAGCTGAGGGACAGTGCCCAGGCCCAGAGCTCAAGCCCCATGACTGACCAAAAAAAAGGAGGGGGGAAGTAGAGCTGTGGCTCAAGGTGGTAGAGCACCCTGAGCAAAAAAGCTCAGATATAGCGCTCAGGCCCTGAGTTCAGGCTCCACAACTGCAAAAATAAAAGACTAGGTACCCACATATAAAAGGACACATTTGGAGTGCTACCCACACCATTATACAAAAATGAACTAAAGCACAGTGATGCACATCAGTAATCCCAGCACACTGCATGCTGAGACAGAGTGCTTGAGAGTTTGAGGCCAGCTTGAGCTACATAGAACCTAGCCTGGTTCTGTGAAGCTGGTGCCAGTGACTTATTCCTGTAATCCTAACTACTCAGGAGGCTGAGATCTGAGAATTGAGGTTTGAAGCCAGTCTGGGCAAGAAAAATTCCGTGAGACTCATCTCCAGTCAACCAATAAAAAGTTAGAAGTAGAACTATGGCTCAAGGGGTAAAGTGCTAGTTTTTAGCAAAAAAAAAAAAAAAGCTCAGGGACAGTGCCCAGGAGGAGCTGAGTTCAAGTTCCAGGACTGGCACTAAAAGAAAATGAAAAACTACCCCAAAGTGGATCAAAGACCTAAATGAAAGAGTTACACTATAATTGACGGAGATCTTACAGGAGTACATCCTGATGTTCTTGAGTTAGGCAATGATTTTAGATATCTCCCACAAAGTACGAATAACAAGACAAAAATGTAGATAAGTTAGACTGGAAAAATCAAAGACTTCTGTGCTTCAAAGATCAAAACCAGCAGGATGCTGGTGGCTCACATCTGTAACCCTAAGCTACTCAGGAAGCTAAGATCTGAGGATCACAGTTCAGAGCCAGCCTGGGAAGGAAACTCAAGAGATTTAGCTTTTAACCAGCAAAATGATGTACTGGAGACTGGCTCAAGAGATAAACTGCCACCCATGAACAAAAAAGCTGAATAGCCGGGTGCCAGTAGCTCATGCCTGTAATCCTAGCTACTTAGGAGGCTGAGATCTGAGGATTGTGTTTCAAAGCCAGCCAAGGAAAGAATGTCCATGAGACTCTTAACTCCAATTAACCACCAGAAAACTGGAAGTGGCGCTTTGGCTCAAGTGGTAGAACACTAGTCTTGAGCTGAAGAGCTCAGGAACAGTGGCTAGGCTCAGAATTCAAGACCCACACCTGACCAAAAAGAAAAAGGCTGAATGAAGCTGGGTGCCAGTAATCCTGGTCAAGCCTGTAATCCTAACTGCTCAGGAGGTTGAGATCTGAGGATGATGGTTCGAAGACAGCCCAGGCAAGAAAGTCTGTGAGACTCTTTTTTTTT